GTTCTAATATTTATGTAATTTTGGTACATATTACATAAACTTTTTGGCATATTTTAATTTCTTCTCAATTTAAAACTTCATAAATGAACCTAACAAATTTTATTTCAAGAAAATTCAAGTAAGATAAGTTAGATTTTTCTCTTTTTTGCAATTTCTTTGCTAGTCAGCAGAATATGACTCAAAGGTAGGGAACAAACTGATATCCACAAGAGAAACCTTAAGGAGTTTCTTGCAAAGAAAAGTACAGCAGATCTAGTCACCAGGAGTTTACTTGAAGCTTAGGAAGTACCAAGACTTGGTTACTATATAAAATACTTCAGAATAGTTAGAAAATACTATATTCTGCTGGGTACAGTGGCACATACCTGTAATCCAAAAGCTCAGGAGGCTGAGACAAGAGGATCACAAGTTCAAAGTCAGCCTTAGCAACTTAGTGAGGCACTAAGCAACTCAGTAAGACCCTGTCTCAAAATAAAAAATAAAAAGGGCTAGGGAAGTGGCTCAGTGGTTAAGAACCCTCGAGTTCAAAACCTGATATCAAAAAAAAAAAAAAAAAAAACTATTTCTCTCTTAACCTTTTATAGGTAGCCAAAGTACAATAATTTATCCTTTTACCCTACTAGATTGTGTTTGGGGTAACAACCTAAAAAACTTTCATACATACATTTGAAATTATACCAATAATGTATTATTACTATTAAGTTTTCCACATAAGTCTTTTGACTACCTATAAAAAAATCCCTCAAATTATTCTTGATTATATGTCTGTATATATACATGTCTATATAATCTTTATCCATATTCCATTCAGAAAGGTGATTCATTTAGCTAATCCCATTAAAAGAGTGCAAAACAAGGCTCATGTAAGAGGGGACCACCTATATACTTCTTACTTAAATGGTAAAAATTTCCAGTGCTCTGATCAAATGTTCACAGGGCAGTGAGAGTTACTACATAGCAAATAAGAAAAATAATGAATAACATGTGCAGAAACTGCAGCCAGAATAATATCTGAAAAGCATATTACACTCAGTGAACTTCTAGGTTGTATCAGAGGACCACCCTCTGTTTGTGGAGCCACAGGGAAGCAAAACAGACTTTACACTATACTCTGGATATGTAGTTGGTGTTTTTTTTTTTTTTTCCCACAGAGTCTGTAGGAGAACAGGAATAATTTCCATCTTAATGCAGACACACAAGCTTGTATGTACATACATGCATATGTGTGCACATCTATACATGTTTGTAAAAAGAAAAGGCACTGTCGTGATGTTTCTAAATTATACATTTGGTTGCTGTTTGGTACTTGGAAAGTTTAAGTTTTAGATATTCTCACATGGGCATGTGGCTTTTGGTAAGCATAGGGAGTAATTGCCTTCTTGTATAGATGGTTGTTCTAGACTGTTATGGAGGGAGTACAAACATAGAAGCAAGTATACAAAATGTAAGGAAGTAAATAAACTGATGATTGGAGTAGCAAACTTTTAAGAGGTAGAAACACAGTATAGAAAGAAGTATATTCTGGAGGATTTCGAATGTGTAAAGAAGTTTAATATGTTCTATTTCCTTTTCCTCAAGTGAGCTCTCCTCTCCTTGTCAAGGCCAAAGCCAGTTCCACCTTTTCAAGGTGGCCCACACTGATCTCTGTGTCTTCTAGAATTATTAACTACAAGCGGTCCTATCAGAAAGCTTTATGCTACTCTCATCTTTAATGACTTATAATTTTATTCTCTTTGTTATATCCTCCATCTAGCAAGGAACCATTTTATACATGGGTGCTTTGAAAATATTAAAAGTTATGTATCCCTTTGGCTGGGGTTGTGGCTCAGCGGTAGAGCGCTTGCCTAGCACACGCGGGTCCCTGGGTTCAATCCTCAGCACTACATAAAAATAAATAAACAAAATAAAGGTATAAAAAATAAAATAAAAGTTATGGATCCCTTTTCCAAAATCTTGGAACCAGAAGTATTTTAGGTTTGAGATTTTTTTTTCATTCGTTTGTTTCAGATTTTAGAATATTCACGTAGATAATGAGATTATTTTAGGAATAGGACCCAAGTCTAAATGTGAAATTTATTTAGGTTTCATATATACCTTATACACAAAGCCATAAAGTAATTTTATATGATGTTTTTAGTGCCTCTGCACTTTGACTATGACCTGTCACATGAGGTCAGATGTGGAATTTTCCGCCTGTGGCATATCAGCAATCAAAAAGTTTCATGAATCCTGAAGTTTCAGACTAAGAATGCTCAAGCTGTAGATCTTTTTTCTAACTAACTTCAGTTTGACTAACCTGGATCCCCCTAAAGCACATCCCCTCCCTGAGACCTGCTGTCAGATGCCCTCAGTAACCTCTTCCCAGGGCCTGGACACTGTGGTGTGCACTTGTACTTTCCGTGGGTTCCCTTGTGCTTTCCAGGTCATGATCATTCCCTAACACATTTATTCTTGTACTTCTTAATCATCATTAATTAAATATTTCATGAGTCATTTAAGTAATCTAGTTAGATCTAGTTGTGATCTTGCTAGGAAAACCAGGTGTAATGGTCTAAAAAAGATTTTGAGTTGCTAGAAAAAATTAGCTATTGAATTTTAGGGAAGGGGTGTAAGGTAACTATAAACAGGGGTGGAAAGAATCATTACATTCTAGTCTCCACTTTAGTGAAACCACCCATGGATGGTATCTTGTGAGTGAGGTTTCTGCAACAAAAAACAGAATTTCAACCAGCAGAATTCATGCAAACTAAGGTTCTTTGTTGTACGTCACAAGTTTGTACATTTATGTTTTGAGAATGTGGGTGTTTTTTTTTTATGAATCACCAGTTAAATCAACGTCTTTGTTTAGCAACCAGCTGCTACTTCATATTCATTAGAAATGAGGACTTCCTGTTTCTTGGATTATCTTCCAAGGTGGTTTGTCCATATTCAGCTTGGTAAAGGAAGCAGATGCCCTTACTAACAGCTATTATACTGTACCTTGGGGAGTGTCTCTCACTACCTCACCATCTTCTTTTAAAAAGGCAATTTTCTTCCTAAGAGTATTTCTACTCTACTTTTAACATTGAAGTTAGCCATTCCCATGGAGTTGGGGAAATTCTCACTAATTTTAATTGGGGAGTATTAAAAATTGCAGTATCAAGCAATGAAAACAAAGTGGATTGTAATTTAGCTCACTGTGCAGGGTCAGTTCATGAGAAAAAGTATCACTGTGTCCTAACTCCATGGAACCCATAGTGTGACTTTATAATGTATTAATATTGTGAGCCTGCTAAAGGGAATTTGATAAATGTCTTCAAATGCTTCTGTTCATGCCTATTTCTCATTTGCTTTCTAGAGCGTTGCTTGGTGGGCATTCTTTTTTTGACATTTACTAAATGTCAGCTACAGTCCATTTTTAAAACATTGGCCTAGACCCAGTGGCCTTACCAATTTATATTAGCCTGTTAAGAAAAATTAAATAAAGTTGAAAATGAAATGAAAATTGCTTCAAAGGAACACGGAGGGTAACACTGAAATAGCCCATTAGTGGCCTGATAGGTATTCATTCCCTCACTGAGTTCACAGCTGTGTCATTTTGTAATATTGCCAGACTCTGAAAGGAAATCCAAAGAAAAAATTAAAAATAATTCATTCACGTAGCAGCCATTTACTGAGTACCTTTTCTGGATCAGGCACTAAAAATACAAAGAGGAAGAGAGAGACTGGTTCACTCTGCAGGCATCTCACAGGCTCACGCTGTGATTCTCCGGCTTGAAATCAAAGCCAGAGCTGCTCTGATTCATTGTGCTCTTGCAGGCAGTGGGGCCTCTTGAAGGCACATATTCAAGCAGGGTATCCATTGCTAGGAATTTTTTCCTATGGAAATAATCAGGAAAATGTGCAGAGGTGTGTCGATTCTTTTAGAGTAATGATCTTCATTTTTAATAAATTACTTGCCAGATGTTTCATCAGATATTTATTGGACACCTCTACCACTTAACCTTGATGAAGAATTTAACTATGAGATATTCTTCTTGTCCATCAGCATGGCGTGTGCTGGTTGTTTCTTACTATTTAATTATTATCTTAATAGTTGGCTGGACCAGTTCATTGTTTAGTCTTCCTGTCTTTCTGTATAATTCCCAGTACAGTCTGGACAATTTATTAAGTTAATTGCACTGATGTACTCTGTATTAGAACCCTTCTGTCATTGTCTTGGCATTTATTTCTTAAATGGCTTTTAAGAGTCTGTGAAAAATTACTCCAAATCTAATACCAAATATGATTTTAGTATAGTTCAACATATAGTAGGCTGATGTCTTTTATTCCTGACCATGTTTTTATAAAAGGTTGATTGATTTTTACTTGTGCATCAGTGGCTTTGGAAGAAAGTGAAGCACACAAACTATATTAAGCACTTGGTGGTTTTACTATGATGGGGATTCACAGTGGTGTCTGAGAACAGGTGTAAGGATTAGCCACTCTGACTATTAATTTAAGTAGAGTTTCAAGTTGTTTTAAGCATGTAATACATTATGTAAGACCAGCTTTCAGAAGCTCAGAACTTTTACTTTCCAGGTACTGTATAGAATTTAATTATTGTCTGGAAAACTACTAACAACCTTGATGACCTTCTCTTTAATTCAAAAGTGAAAAATTAGAAATTTGGTTGTTATTTGTTGGAAAGAAATGGTATTTCTGGACTCAAATGTTTTTTTTTTCTTTAACAAATTAATAAGAACATCCTGGTCAGCCAGTGCTTACCAAAGAATAATATCTTCTAGCTGTCATTTAAAGATTTGCTTCTATGACTTCATTTCCCCCCCTACTTAAAGTAGCAACCAGGTTAACTGAGAACTAAACATTTCAAAATGAGACTTTTCCATGATGGTTCTTCAGAGAACGACCCATTTGGAGCTTTTGCTTTTTTTATCCTTCAAAACAATGGCATTTCAAAATTCCTTTTTTTTTTTTTTTTTAAGAAAACAGAGATAACTGATAATTTGTTCTAATTTAAGGGTTTCTCCTCTTCAAAAATCTGAAGTCGTTGAGATGGTTAAGAAACAAGTCAAAGTCATAACACTGGCAATTGGTGATGGAGCAAATGACGTGAGCATGATACAGACAGCCCACGTCGGTGTCGGGATAAGCGGCAACGAAGGCTTGCAGGCGGCGAATTCCTCAGACTACTCCATAGCCCAGGTAAAGCATCACTACTGCAAAACAGGACCCACTCCTTTTTGCCAACTAACACTATGAAGAGGAAATAATAATTTTTTTCCCTACTCTTCTTCTAGTTCAAGTATTTGAAGAACTTACTGATGGTTCATGGTGCCTGGAACTATAACAGAGTGTCCAAGTGCATCCTGTACTGCTTCTACAAGAACATAGTCCTCTATATTATTGAGGTAATAGCAGGCTACATTTAAAGTCCTTGTCACTTGCATACATATTTAAAGACATTTTCTTTATGAAGACATTTTCTCATTGTTTTCATTAATACTTCATTTGCTCACTTACTTTTTATTATGTCTAAATGTATTCAAACAAAAAGGCTGTCAGCCATGGCGAACAATTAATGTTTAAATTCTAGCTAAAAATGTTATATTGCTTTCCTAGCAGTATTGGATTAGAATTGCTGATGAGGTAGTGTTTTCAGTTTAAAAAGCTACAAACTATATTTTTTATAAAGCTCAAAAACATACTAAAAAGAACAACTCACTGTTGAAGGATAATGCACATATGGAAAATTGTGTCTAAAAAGACAAGTAATGTTCCCCAGCACCACAGGAATAAAATTTTTTTAAAGAAAAGTAAAGGGATGATAAACACAAAACTGAGAATAAGTTCTAATTCTGGGGGTGGAATCAGAAAGAGTATACAATAGCTTTGCTGGTATTGGTTGTCTAGTGGGTTTTTTATTTTTTGTTTGTTTGTTTTTTGAAAACTTAGATCTATGTTACATACAGGTATCCCTTGCTATCCAGACTTGTCTTGGTTTCTAAGTTTGGTAAGTAACAAGAGTTCAGATAATACGGGCTTTACCTAGAAATTATATCCGTGTGTGGATAGCAAGGGATTTCTGCGATCTTTTTTGTGTATCAAATGTAGCCTTATTTTAAAAATGAAAACCTGGATCAGGAATGTCACTTCTAAAATAAAAAGAAAAAGAAGAAAAGAAAAAAATACTTTTTCTTCTATGAACATCTTTGCAGCACCTGCGAGGAGCCAGGCTCCAGGCTTAGTCCAACAGCTACAATATAAATGTAGCATGATTTCTGTCCTCCAGAACCTTGCCAATTGAATACAATGGAAGCCACATGTCTAATTTCAAATTTTCCAGGAGCTACATTAGCAAAATACTGAAATTAAAGTTCAAATTTGTTTCAATATCATATTCTATTTAACTCAATGTATTTCAAAGTATCATTTTCAACATTAATTACTATAAAATTAATAATAAATATTTTATATTCTATATTATTTTCTCCATATTAAGTGTTTAGAATTTGGTATGTATTTTAGACCTACAGTACATCTGTATTTAGACTAGTCCCATTTGAAGTGCTTGAGAGTCCCATGTGGCCAGTGACTACCATATTGTAGAGCATAGCACTAGTGGACAAATAAATGAACCTAAAGGTTACTCAGGATGTAACAAATAATTTATTTACCTTTTTTTTTTTAACATTTTGCCTTTGAATCATCAGAAGCTATATTTGTAATAATGAAACTCTAAATGTTATCAGTTTCATGTTCCTGTTGCAACTCTGTAGGACAAGGAGGTCCTAGTAGCCTGGTAAAAAAAAAACCTGCCTTCACTGCTGCAGAACATACCCCCATAGCTCTTCTGAGGACTTCCTTACAGAAGTTGGTGCCACCTTGCTGTCTGTTCTGTTGGCTATTTCTACACATCTATCAGAAGGGGCACAACCTAACTATTTGCTATGTGGAAATAAGATCTCATATTTTACACCAGAGAAGTAGCACTATAAAAAAAAAATCAGTAGATCCCACATCTGCCCTGTTATTTGGGGACTGATATATGTTTGGCTCAGCTATTCTTTACCTCTGTCAGAATGCTTTTATCCTTAGTAAAGTGTTGACTGAGCATAGTTTTATTATGAGCCAGGTTAGTAAAATTGAATTGTTTTGAATATACAAGCAGCTTGCTTCATTTATTAATCACTAAAGATCCATTATTAGGTTACAGCCTATTAGATAAAATAATCAAATATTTAGAAACAAAAATAAGATACTTCATGAACTTACTTATTATTTATTACTGCCAGGTTTGGTTTGGAACAATCTGCTTTAAGACAAAATGTGCTTCCAGAATGGTTTATAAAATCAAAAATATTATTTTTTATATATGTTTGTGGTTCTTTTCTACAAAATGTATATATTTTTGGTTCATCTCTCCTTCTATATATCTAACTATTCTAACTAAACACTTTTAAAAGAATATTATAGTTTATTTATATATATTTTTGAAGACTTTTAAATCAGAATTTTAAAACCAGTGCCAGTAATAAATCTGCTAATAAAAATTTAATTTTACAAAATGAAATAAGTCTAGATTTTAAATGTAGATTAATTGGCAACAATGAAATGGGCAAAATTTATGTACTAATGGGAAAAATAAAATAAACTGAAATGAAAGCTGAATCTGCATGCTATTTTTCAAACCCAGGGTTGTGTGATTTGTGGTTGATTACCCCTAAATTTCACTTGGCTTTTCATGTAAAGCCTCTTCATGAGATATTTAACACTGATCACATTCTTTACACATGAAAAAGGAAGCGAGTTCTAAACTTTACTGGAAATCTCATTTTTATTTTTCTTTTAGCACTTTATGGAAATGTATTTTGAATATAATTCAGCTGTCTTGGAAATGAATTGACCTTTTAAATCAATTCCCAGATACCCAACTTTTGCCAGTTAAAACAAGTTCTGCAGATGTTAATGGCTCATGTCAATACTGCGAATGAATAGACAGAAAACACATCGGTGAATGTCTCTAGTGAGGACAGCTACCAGTCTTGAATCTTTCCTTTCAGTTTTTTGTGCTGATCAGGCGTGGGAGCAGAGAACTCATTGACTGTTTGTAAGCTGCTGTTTAATATGCAGAAATGCTCCATGAGGAAATGTCTGTCAAGCTTTAGCTGCCACGCCTCTGCTGCGAGGTGGAATTTAGGAAATAATACCAGGAGAGGCAGGTCTGAAGTTTCTTTACTAATAAAGGCATAGTCTCAAACACTGTGGGTTTTATAGATTATCTGCAAAAAAATTGCTTTCCCATCATTGAATCACCAGAAATATCCCTGTCGAGCTCCTGTGTTGCTGTAAATTACAGCTACACAAATAAATACCCATTTAGCAGGTGGTGGTTTAAAGTTCTTAACTCCTGGTAGCTGCCTGGCAGCAGCTCTAGGTGTTGGTTTACATTATTGGCTCTTTCTAAAGAGATTTTTTTTTATTTCTCTGAAATGTCTGACTCCATCCTAACAAAATAAGACTTTTTTTTTTTTTCCAAATGATTGGCTGTATCCAAGTTTTTCTGTCAAGACCCCCAAACAATGTCGTGTTTTTAGTTTCCAGAAGCTGAGCTTAAATTCAATAAGATGATACTTTCCCAGCCAGTTGAACTGAGAGATGGATTCCCTGTGAACTGAAATAATGTAGACACCTCCCCCAGAGGGCCTGGGGTTTTTCTTTCTCCATCATTGACTTTGGTTGAGTCAAAGGAGGGACTTTTGCATGTTTATGGAATTTAGATGTTATCTTATTTAGCATGGGATATGTTTCTAATATATCATTTAACTACAGATCTCAGACTAACCTGAAATCAGGTTTCTGGTAAACTACTTCACTGTTAAAGACCATATCTTTCTTCTTTTTTTAATTTTTTTTTTTTTTTTAGTTGTCAATGGACCTTTATTTATTTTTTTTATTTACTTATGCAGTGCTGAGAACCAAACCCAGTGCCTCACACATGCTAGGCAGGCGCTCTACCACTGAGCCACAACCCCAGCCCTCTTCTTTAATAAGTAAACTTGACTGCCAGAATATTTGTGTGAAGATATAGGGTAGTATATTGAAAGGTTTTATTCTTATCTAGTCATTTCTTTCTCCTTTTAAAAAAATGAAATTAGAATATGAACTTTTTAAAATGCTGAAAGTAAATCTCTAAAAAAATGTTCACCTACTTTTCAATAGGAAAAATAAATGGTAAAAATGTGTTAACATTCAACTTAAAATTTTTCTGTCATAAAGCAGTTAATTTGTGTATTTTAAAATACACTTTGAACCAGACGTGTTGGTTTATTTGCAAATAAATTTGAACTTGAAATTGTGTATACATTCATTGATTTAAGAGAGGGCCTTGTTTTTAAGCTCATGGTAGCAGTAACTTTTGAATCAGCACCAAATGTGATATACACAGAAGCCAGGGTACCACTAAAATTTACAAATATTTACCTACTACTCACACACAAATTTATTAGCAAAAACTTCCAATAGCATACAGTATTCATGACTGCAAATGTGTTTAGAACTGTAATATTTTGAGGCAAATCATGTCCTTTAGGAAAATTTGGTATGCATAGAATCCTGACTTTCTTCAGACCAACAAAGATTAGACTATGTCTTCATCGACGAGAGAGGCCGTAATCAGTTTGTGTTTAAAAATTCCTTATATTTCCATACCCCAAAAATCAGAAAGAGCTTCTTAGAATATATTACTACAACAGATCACAGTTGCTGTCAGAAAAATCATAACCATCACCTGGAATATCACAAACATGTATTAATGTATGCCACAACTCAAAAAGACCAAATGAAAAAACACAATGGGTGTGGGGGGCACTAAAGTCTGTTTCACCAACTCGTATATACTCCCAAGGGAAGAATAAACTTCAGTTTGCATGCGCAAATGATCTAGCTTCTTGTTGAAGGCAAATGTTCAAAAATTTCTGTAAAAATATGGAACACAAAAGAAAGGAAAGATTTCAGATTCGACCCCAATTTCTATGCTTTTGTTATTGTTGTTAATGTGTATTACAACCTACCACCATTGGGGATTTATTTTTCATGTTATTGCCACTTTGTTTTCTTTTCCATCTCATGAAGCAGACATTCATTTTTACACATGCTCGATCAGTCCCTTCCACTATGAAAAGGAAGATCAGTGTGGGTACAGAGGCTCTTCACAGGGAGGCCAGCCTGGGTACATATTGATAAATGGTGAATTTGTAGCAATTCACGCTTCCATAATGAGGTTAAATGAAACGTGAAGTGTAGCGAAGTCCCTGTGACTCCCATTCAAAATTCACTCGAGCCGCATGTCAAGACCGCTTCCCCTACGAGTTTTGTGGTTGTGTTGTGTTTTTGTGCTTGTGTTTTGTGTAATCTCATTTCTAGTCCAGCCTTTTTACTCTTCCAGGTCAGCTTGACTTTTAGTTATACTCAGGTCTTCTTTTTATTTAAAAAAAAAACAACTCATAGTAATGTTGGTATTACTCACTCAGTGATAGTCTCATTTTCCATTTTAAATATGTTGGAGAAAAACTTCTCCTTGTTGTTCTTAAATTGTGTTTAGAAAGTTAAGGCTTTAAAGAGAATGGTAAAATACATAAGAATGTTATGCTTTAATGTAAAGATTTGATTTTTATCAAAGCATGAAATTTAAGTTGAAAGTATTTTAATAGGTATATTCAAATTTAACATTCTGATGGCAGTAATTAACAAGAACTGTGAAAATATTTAACACACTCACCTACTTTGACCCATAAATTGTATGTTAAGAATTTATTCTAAGGAAAAAGAGATGGGTAAGGTTCAGTTTGGAATCATTTCTAATAGCAAAATCTTTAAGCAACCTAATATCCAAAATATTTACATCCACACTTTAGAAGTTCTACATCCATTAATGGCATATTAAAGGATATAGAACAACTTAAGAAAATGCATATTTTGTAATGTGAAGAGGAAAGAGCAAGATATAACTCTATGTACATAAAATTTTAAATAAATTTGTGAATGTGTTTAAATAAACTGATACAAAAGGAAATATTGATTCTATTATAGGATATTATTTTCTAAGTAGATGTTAGTTATAATTAAAAATTGCACTTTAACTACATCCTGATAGTATTTTTTAAATGTAATTAAAGCTATAAAAATTTAGTGATGTATGTAAATATAGTCCCTTTTAAAAACAAATTGTTTTTTGTTTGTTTGTTTATTTTTGACTGGGTATTGAACCCAGGGGTGCTTTACCACTGAGCTATATTGCCAGTTCTTTTTATTTAATTTTTTTTTAATTGGAGGCAGACTCTCTATAAATTGCTAAGGGCCTTGCTAAGTTGCTGAGACTGATCTCAAACTTGCCATCTCCCTGCCTCAGCCTCCCAAGTCACTGGGATTACAGGTGTGTTCCCTGCACCTGGTTTTTAATTTTTTATCAGTGGTTGCTTATTCATAGCCCTGATATAACTTGACAAATAGAACCAATTCTGACTTGAGTAGCACATGCCTTATGAAGGTATCCCTCTAAATCAAAAAAAGTAAAGCAGTCGTCTTCAAGAGCATCCTAAAAATATGTTAATGCTGTAGTTTTGCAAAATTGAATATACAATAGATTCTAAGCAATACATTGATTCTTTTGTGTTCTAATTTTGGGGTTTTGGGGTTGTTTTCTTCCTAGATCTGGTTTGCCTTTGTTAATGGCTTTTCTGGACAGATCCTCTTTGAAAGATGGTGTATAGGTCTTTATAATGTGGTAAGTTTTATACATTTGGTAATAATGCCTGTTTTATTGAATAGTCTGAAATAAAGATGCACCCTGCATTTGGCTGTGTGGTATAATGACCGATTTGTTACTTCAGCTGTTTACAGCAATGCCTCCCTTAACTCTTGGAATATTTGAGAGATCATGCAGAAAAGAGAATATGTTGAAGTATCCTGAACTGTACAAAACGTCCCAGAATGCTCTGGACTTCAATACCAAGGTAGGAGCCATTGTCCAGGCACAGATTCAGTGGGGCTGCTTGATTGCTCTGACTACTTAGGGCAGCTTGTTTTCAAAGCCAAGGAGACTCCAGCCTGAGGCAGGTGAGGGGGTGCCCACCAGGGTGAGTCATCCTTCTTAAAGTTCTGATACAGCAGGGAAGGCTTTTCATCGGTTGGTTTGATTTTGCTTGAGTTAGTCATTTTGTGTTATAAAATTAAAATGAAATCACCATCTGCGGGGATTTTTGAGGCAGCGTTGGGCTGATCTAGGAGACAGAAGTCACTGAATGTTTGGTCTCTGACTTCTGTTTTTTGCAGCCTTGTAAGGAAATGCTCACTCCTCATGGCATTCATTCATACAGGACTGCCAAGGGTTAGCTTTACAGGGAAATGGGTGAGAGGGATGATATCATTTCTAACTCACCTTCTGTTTTGTGAAATAACTCTTTTGTCTTCATTAGAATTTTACATTAATTGGCTCAGACATTAACATTACAGACTCCAGGAAATAACATTGTTTAATCATAGTGCTCTGTATTTCCAAACTTAAAAATTAAAAATACAAGGTAAGCTGGGGATATAGCTCAGTTGGTAGAGTGCTTGGCTCACATGCACAAGGCCCAGGTTCAATCCCCAGCACCACAAAAAAATAAAATAAAATAATAATAATAATAATAATAGATAAAATAGCCAACATTTTATCTAAAAATCACAGTCTGGGTTTATATGCCATATAACAGTCAGAGGCTGTTGTCATCTCTTGTGATTTGTAATACTTGTTGTTCATCCTGGCAACAAAAGGTATCTTATTTTCTGCAAAGTTTATTTCCTGAATGTAAGTATTCCAAAGAATCTCTATAGGGATTTGTTAATTATTCAAGTTCCTTAGTAGTGCAAGTGCGAGAGAAATGAATTTTAATCATAACAATCAAAGTAAATACCATTTTGAATCTCTATCATTCGAATATTTCATTAGTGTTATAAAAGCCCCTGGTATAATATACCCTCACAGAATCATTTTCATTTAATATAGTGCATGTTTATTAGCATGTGATTGATAATTGTATGTAACTTTAGTTCAGTGTACTAAATTTAGGACAGTTAATGTGGGATATTTTTATTATATTCATAAAGCTCTCCAATGCCATTTATTTTGCTGAAAATAAAGTGAAACAGGTGTTTTGGGCCTCTAACCTCACACCATAAATGATAGGGTTAAGTTTATAGCCAAGAGGTTATTCTTCTGAGACTCATCTCCACTAATACACTGTGCATGAATGTCCAGCCGCATATGTGAATACAACTTAATGGTTTCATGTCTTAGTTAATTAAAATAACAAATACACTTACGGTTCTTTAACTTATACCACTGTTTTTTAAAAGTATTTCTAGTCATCCTTTTTAAAACTATTATTATTGATGACATTCAGTATCCAAGCTCATATTTTAAATGTTTTATTTTTGAATTTTTAAAATGAATTTATCATGCCCAGTTTGTATTAAATTCTACTGCATTTCTATAGTGTTTTTCGTTACCTGTGATGGGTATTCTGAAATGACCCAAAGCTACAGTCTGGGCACATACAATGGAAGTGAGCTCTTGTTTCCCTTAAAAAGTGATCCAAGAGCTAGGAAAGCCCCAGGCCTACTACTACTATATTAAGAGTAATTCCCACCAACTCAGACGGTGGTATCAGCCTCAGCCACGGGTCTCTGGGGTCTCTGTCAGCAGCAGCTCAGCCTCCTGGGTGCCGTCTCAGGAGGTGACTTTCCAGCCAGAACTTGGCCACCTCACTCTTGCTTAAAAACGTTAACTCGATAATTGTCGTTCTAACTGGAGTGAGATGAAATCTTAGAGTAGTTTTTGATTTGGATTTCTCAAAAACACCAAAGGCCAAATATTTTCTCTGATATGTGGATGCTGATCCATAATGGGGGGCGCCTGGGGGAGAAGCGGGTTGGGGGGAAAAGGGAAGAATGAGGAACTTTGGGTGGAAGGAAGTAAAGGGAGGGGAGGGGGCATGGGGGTTGGAAAGATGGTGGAATGAGACGGACATCATTACCCTAAGTACATACATGATTGCACAAATGGTGTGACTCTACCCTATGTACAACGAGAGAAATGTGTACTATGAATCCAAATGCATTCTGTTGTCGTGCATAACTAATTAGAACAAATAAAAGAAAAAAGAAACATAACTCCATCCTCCCAGGACTATCCAAAGTCATTCCCACAGTGCTGCATCCTTTCCTACTCCTTCTGCATGATAACGAGGACACAGTTCTGTGGCCGGGGAAAGGGTCCAGCAGGTAGTAGGCAGTTTTAGTGCAGGGCATTTATTATTTTTTGTATCTTTTGTGGTTGAAAACAACTGGCATTCTGAAAAATCATCAGATTGGCTCAAATAAGTTATACAGTTTCCATATTTGTTTGAATATTGGCTGTTCATATACACACGTCGCCAACTATTTTTTGATAGGATATGAGGGGTTTTCTAAAGATTGCTGGGAAGTTTGTTTTTTTTTTTTTTTAATTAAATCTCATATAAGTGCTTTAAAACTTGGGGACAAATGGCTACCAAATGCATAGTTGTGCACCCAGCAGTTGCTGTGTGTCCCCAGCGTGGAAGCATTGTTGTGGTGAATGATGGCGCTTACGTTTGTTATGGTAAAAAGGGTCGGAGGTTCTGAGGTCGTGACAGGGGTTAAAGGATTAGCATGTGACAATAAGTATCGGTCAGGAAAATGGAAAAGTAGAACTAATTTTTCTTGCACCCACCTGTGCTTTCTGTCAAATAAAAACTTGTGGTAATGACACAGTGAGGAGAAGCGACAAAGGTTAATGAGTAACACAAGTTCAAATGTGTAATGTGTTGGGGCGTAAATTGGATCATACAATCCAGTGTGGCCCGGTGAACTAACAAAGGAGATTGAGACCCCAGTGGAAAATTTGGGGAGGCAGGCGACTTAATTTCTGTTGTTTGAACAGCTTTAAACTATTAATACGTGCCAATTTTGTTTAGTATGAGTTTTGTTTGCAAGAGGCACTTTTAAATGACAAAACTACAACTGTTCAGAGGGCCCATAAGAATTCTAAACAGTTCTTCTATAACTTAATCTTTCACATTCATGCTACATAAAAAGTAGTCCTCGCTCTCTTGTTCTTAAAATACGACAGACATGAAAAGTCATATTGTTATTAAATGGTGTTATAATGATATGAAATTTGGTATTGACGGGTGTTTTAAAAAGCTGCGAAAAGTATTATTTTAAACGTTGTACTTGCTATTTTTAACATAACATGTATATCTGTGTGTTTCTATAGCAAAAGAGAGAGTGAGCATCCTATCTTGTTATCATTTAAAAGTTGACACTTGTATGTACCTGGGGAACAGAAAGGGATTTCCCCCAATTACAGTCTTAAAAAAAAAAAAAAAACTCTGTTCTTCTGGGATTATGAAAATAGTCCCACCTAAGGAATCTCAAGATCTGCATTTATTGTAAATTTTATTTTCTTTTTCAGGCAGAAATTTAAACTTTTGATACTTGGTTTTTTTTTTTTTTAAAAGTAGTGGAAAAAATTCAAGAGAAGCTGAAAAAACATTTTGAGAAACATAAAAATAAATAAATGACCCATGAAAGTCTAAGAGGCAGAAAGTGTCTGTCAGTTCTATTAATTCACAGTGGTGGCCTGACAGAAACACGTTTTGTGAATCTAGCTCATAGATAAAAAGAAAGGTCAGAGTTCACAGAGCTAGTTTATCGCAAATGGTTCTCATGGATTTTTGTTTTCCCTCAGGTTTTCTGGGTTCATTGTTTAAATGGCCTCTTCCACTCCGTTATTCTGTTTTGGTTTCCATTAAAAGCCCTTCAGTATGGTAAGTAGAAAAGAGATGAATGCTAAAAGATGACTTTTTACTTTTTTAGAAAAGGAACACACTCTAAATATATGTTTTAAAAAAAAAAAAAATTGTAGCAGTATTTTCCTTAACCTAGAATGTACGCATCCCAAAGTCCTACACACTTTAAAGATTTTTATTATTCCTCTGGGAGCAAAGTGATTTAATGTATGCAAAGCCTTTCTTCTTTACTTCTCATGTTTTCCAGACTTGCAGAGAGTTAAATTTTAGGGCTCTTTTTCTCCCCCTTTGTTGATGTATAGCTTGAAGACAATAAGTGCTAATATTTTATGTAGTCTAATTATTATACCTGTGAGATTTGGTCAAGCACTTTATGCGCAGCCTAATCAGACTGGCTAGTATTTTCAACTAGATTCGAGCCAATTTGGAGTGAGGTTTTTAATTCGTTCTTATGTTCATCTTGGAGTGCAAACTTCGGCTCTGCTCATTTCAAGGGAGTGATTTTATTCTGTCCGTTTTGACAGATAGGATCATGACATACTTCCCATCACATAAAAATGATTCAGTAGCCACTTTAGGAAAGAGGTCCACGGGACACACTAGCTTCTGTGTCCTGGAGCAGACCTTGCCCTGAGATGCTAGGGAAGACCACCGGCCATTCCATGCCGGTGCTCCAAGACTACTGCAGTAAAATCCTGCAAGTACCCCACCCCCCATGTGAAGATGCCAGTCCTTCCGAAGTGCAAGCCACACCTTCCGTCTGAGCTTCTGGTTGTCAGCCAGAGCCTGCATCCTGCTCTTTACTGCAGGAAGGATCCCTATAAACACAAATCAAGACAGGTGTCTCCCTCCTGGGGAACCACAGACTCACCATATTTAGAATTCAATCCTCCACCTCCATACCATTGCTTCTTCCTCACCATAGTCTAGTGGTTCCCTCTGCCCCCAGGTGTGCTCAGAGAGGCCCTCTAGGGTCTCCCAGGGCAAAACAGAGGGGTCACTCTGCCCCACTGTTCCTGTCGCTCCAGCCCTTTGTTGTCCCTGTGTTTCTCCATGGTACTTGTCTATCAAGGTGTGATGTATTTGTTTTTTGATTTTTGGGGGGTATTTGTCTTTCTCCTCTATTCAGAAGGGCATGGAATCAGTGGCTCTGTTGTGTTTGCTTTGCATAGAACAATTCCCAGCTTCTCATAGGTGCTCAGTAAATTATGGATGAATTACCGGGAGCATGCAGTGTGAATAAGCAAGTGCTACGGAGAAGACAGTGGGTTCACATCCTAGTGTAGTTTTTAATCTCCTTTATTAATTGCTCAGTAAATTATAGCAGTTAAATACTTTCACTTTCTAGGCCATGGGAATATTTGTTTCTGAGATACATTTCACATCCATAAAGTTCACCATTTTAAAGTGTATAATTCAGTGGATTTTTGGATTTTCAGGGACCTCGCAGATGTCACCATTATCAATGCCAGAACCTTTTCATCATTCAGTAGAGAAACTCTGTGCCTATTAGCAATCACTCCCTGTTTCTCCTAAGCTTCCTCCAATCCTCTGGCAACCACTGATTTTTCTGTCTCAGTGCTTTTCATATAAGTGAAATTATATAACTGACCTTAATTTATCCATGTTGCAGCATGAATCAGAACTTTATTCCTTTTTATAGCTGAATAATATTCCACTGTATACATCCAACACATTTTGTTTGTCTATTATTCAGTTGATGAACATTTGTGTTGTTTCTACTTTTTGGAGCCATGGGACCTTGAAGTTCAGGGTATAATTCAGGACACCCCAACCTTAGATAAGTTCTACAGGTAAAGTTAATCTTCAAAATACAAAATCAATATAGGTGTAAAAGACAGAAGTTGGTTCACCAGTCAAGTTTCTTGTTCCATGTTGGCTTTTAGAAATTTGTTTTTGGGGGGCTTATCTGTATAGCAACTTTGTGAGACTAGAAATGGTGTTTTTCTACATTAACCTCATTTCTGGCTCCAATGTTCATCCCTTGTTTTCCCCTGTTTTGTTCAAAATTTCTAAATTGAATTTTCTTTCCTAGAACCTCAATCATTTTTTCTAACAAGTCTGTCTTCTCTTGCAGGTAATGTATTCGGAAATGGGAAAACTTCCGATTACCTGCTTCTGGGAAATTTTGTGTACACTGTGAGTACAGAAGGGCATTTGCCTTGTTTGCATATAAAACCAAGCCTTTCATCTGTGCACATTTTATTTTTAAATTTAAAATTTCCTAGGCTTAAATGTTAGTTCCCTTTAAAAATGAAATAAGGTATTTTGACTTTTTAGAGATTCTCTATATTAGCTTTTTAAAATGTCGCTTGGGTTTACTGACTTAAAAGGACTTCACATGCTTTTGTTTTCAGTATTTCCTTTTTATTCTTACTGCCCTGATTTGAGTTTTTTTTTTTTTTTTCTTTCTTTCCATTTTCCTTTCTCCTCAAATTTATTTTACGGCCATAGTTAATATTTTCTTGCATTCCTGAATTTGTGGCAAATTTTATCAAAGCACTCTTGGGTATGTAGCCAGTTATTATTTTGAGGCTCTTAATAACTGAAATGTGAGGGATCTCCAGGCTCCGGTGAGGGTGTGCAACACTAGCTCTTGCACCATGGGTACGTACACAGTCTGAGCTTTCCTGCCTCTAACAAGCTGAAAAGTGTTTTTAAACCATCTCCCTTTAAAGCCAGGAGCCCTAGTGGGTGCTGCTGCCTGAGGTCAGTGTCTGATGACCTGGGTATCTGATAAAGGGTCACTTCAACCTTCAACTCTGAACTCTGCTAGGATAGCTCCGGCCACACCCTCTGTGTCGCATTCCTTGTCCTCTGGACAGACAGTGTGTTTTCCAGTGGCCATTGTGCGGCTAACTCAGTTGATAGAAAAGCTGTAATAGGGTGTTTAAATGTCAGGGGTTGTGGGCTGGCCGTGTAGCTCAGTGGTAAAGCACGCACTTACCATGTATGAGATTCCCCATGCAGTCCCCAGCACCCAAACACAAAAAGGATCCATCTCAAGTGTTTCAATAGGTGAATAATGGGAAGTTAAGATCATTCGATAACAGAGTTATTGAGGCTCTAGCAAATCTGGGGGATGTCCTTTCCATTGACACCAACCCATTGAAGTAGTAAAAGAAAAGCAAAAGCAGGTTGGAGGGACTGGGGCTTCCTTCTATTAACAACACGAATGCAAAACAGAAATAGGTAAATACTTAATGGCATAGGTAGAAATAAGTCAGTGTATATGTCATGGACGTTGCTTAGGAACCTTTAAAGTGCTCAAGTCTCAGGAGAGTATTTTTTCTATGATTTTACATGTCAAACTACATTTTATTTTAGAACTTTTTATGCAGCTTAATTAACATTTACATTTTAATAAGAGTTTTATTTCTACAGATATTAATCCAAACTTGCCACTAGATCTCCTGCTGAGAAAGCCCACTGTCTTCCTTTAACCTAACTTTAAGACCCCATTGGGAAGCGTCTAAGCAAATGCTGGGCTCAAACCCTGCAAGTGCCTTAAAGTAGGGCTGGGAACTTGGGGCATTTATTAGTCACCAGTGCCAGGCAAACATCTTACTTCCATCACCAGCAACTACTCAAAGTGCCCAGAGTTCCCTTGACTACTAACAGCATTTAAAATTTTATTATTAGTTTTACATAGACCATAATAAATAGTATTCCAGTGCCAAGCATGGTTCCCAATGTTTTATATTAGTGTTTTGACCTCAAGCATAAAACACAACCCCTACAAGGTAGGTAAGCTTTATCAGAGCCAGTTTATGGATAGAGCTAAGACACACACAGATAAAGTAACTTGCCTTATTCATTAACCAAAGCAGCAACTAGGGGCAGAATCTTGGGCACAGACAATCTGACTCCAGAGCAAACAAATGTAACCATGGGAAACAGCAGTGAGGGTAGTCCCGGTTCCCTCCACTCCGAATTATCGTCATAGTCATCGTCAAGGTGTGTGTCATGGAAGGGTAACAGACTCTCACAACTAGCTACATAAACGTTACGTTTTAAGGGCATAAAGTTGCAGAACGAGTGTTTAGATTTCTAAATACCATTATTTCATTTTTATAACTTATCTTTGAAATTCAGAAAGGTGGGCTTTTAGTATGAAACATGATTTAAAATTCAGTTAAAGGCAGCTTGAAAACCCAAGTTAACACTGTGCTGTCACTATTCATGAATTGTACAAAAAGCAGGCAGACATGTCCTCGGGAGCCTCATGGATGGACTCTTAGACTGTGGACTTGAGGAGAGGCAGGGACAGGCGATAGGAGTCCTGTGCTGCAAACAGGCAGCTCTGGCTGACCTCGTCCTAATGTGAGCCAGCCGGCTGGCTGATCTCATTTTTTTGCTTGTGCAGACAAAGCAAGCAACAAATAATTTACAGTCCCACGGTTTAATTCAATGCTATCTGTTCTTTATAAATCTTACTCTCAGGCCAGGCATGGTGGTGCACACCTGTAATCCCAGCAGCTCAGGAGGCTAAGGCAGGAGGATCCAGAGTTCAAAGCCAGCCTCAGCAACTTAGCGAGACCCTGTTTCAAAATACAAAATATAAAGGGGCTGGATGTGACTCAGTGGTTAAGCTCCCCTAGGTTCAATTGCTGCTACAAAAAAAAAAAATCTCAGTCACTTGATAAATTCATATTTATGAAATAAAATGACATTTTCCCTTTCTGTTTCAGTTTGTAGTGATAACTGTGTGTTTGAAAGCTGGACTGGAGACATCGTATTGGACATGGGTAAGAGAATCTCTGATTACACCTAAGAATTGTCACATTTGCTTGTTCATTCTTTCCAATTTTTTTTTATATTTTTTAATTCTAAATTGATATGTCCCTTTATTCTCATCTAGAGATTGTTAACTGTGGGGAGTTGAGAGTGGAGGGAAGAGAATTAAGAATTCTAGTTTGGAAACACTGAGTTAAGCAAACAAGTTTATTATCACAAAATTTTTCAGTATTATGTATTGTGACTATCCCAGGAAATAGGCAAACTTCCCAACTTCCCAACTTATGTGTCCATGAAACTTTTCTTAGAGTGTCACAGACACAGACACATTGGAAAATAATTCTGAAGACCAGTAATATTAATGAACTATCTATCCTCAGATATTTATAAATTCCCAGTTTGGATAAAACAAGTTCTATTTTCATTATGTTAGCTTTGCAGTATCTCCCTGTTTAGGTAGAAAGACATAGAGGAAAAAAATCAAAGTTTAATAATCAGGGGAAAGATTGGCACAAAAAATCAGGATTTGGCAGTTTGGGGCATCCACGTAATATTCTTAAAAGGATCTGTCTTCTTTTGTGGGGAGCAAAAATAAAGGAGGCTTAAAGGTAACAGGTAAAGAAGTAAATAGTCACTACAGGAGATCAGAGAAGAATGGGTAGTTGAAATTCCAGTCCCACAAACGTTGTTACTGTTGTAGAAGAGATTAGCACTTAATGAAAGATGCAGTAAAACACATTCACACGGGCAATTATGTAGCAATTCCTATAGATAATATTTTTGTGACTGTAGTAAAAAATTAATAAGGGAATTTGTGAAGTTTCACTAGTGTTTTCACACTCAGCTGGCCGGAGTTGGCTTTGACTCAGATTTCCTTGCTTTGCAGTTCAGCCACATAGCAATCTGGGGCAGTATCGCGCTCTGGGTGGTGTTTTTTGGAATCTACTCATCTCTGTGGCCTGCTGTTCCGATGGCCCCTGATATGTCTGGAGAGGTAATGTTCACTAATGACTTGTGATCCACTGATATTCGTTAATGAACTTGCATCATTTAGCATGATTTTCCATTTTGTTGATTTATGTTCAAATAGCATTTAACCATTCAAAAGCTATTTTTAAATTCCACAGTTGGGAATGATGAATCTTTATAGAATATTTTAAGCATGAACATTTAACTTAAATCTGATTTTATCCTTTCAAAAACAACTGGAACAATAAAATATGGTGGTTAGGAGTTTGAATCATGTTAGGAATATCCATGTAGAAGATGCCATTTTAAAATTAGACTGTAAATCCACAAGTACATTCTGGGTAAGAGGTTTGGGGGGACGGTGTGTTTCTGTCTTTGGGGCAGTCTGTCATTTCTTAAATTATCTCTTATTCTAAAGAAAAGCCTGCCATCGCTAGATTAAATGCGCTTTCCAAGTTGTCTTAATGACATCAGTTTGGTTCTCATTTTGAAAGAATTAGGGCACATGACATTTCAGCCTTATCATAGTCCATTTTCCATTCTGTCTCTCAGTTTCTTGTTACTCTGGTAGAAATTGAGTTATTAGGTGTTCATGGGGGAGTGTCAAAAGATCTCCTTTCCTTCAGAAGAGAATCCAGCAGTAGGAGGTTTTATGATTTCAATTGCAGGAAATTTGACATAAAATGTATAAAAGAAAATGTGGAAAACATTTCGGGATTTCCTGTGACCTCACAGTAACTTGCAAATCAAGGTAACATGAGCCCTGTTACAGGACATTGTTTTACCACAGTCACAGGAGCCCTTTCCAGTGGTTTCCATGTATTTCTTGCCCCTAAGTACTGCCTGAGTACCTTTCACTTTTGACAGTCTGGTTTATAGATCATTTTCATGAAATTTTATCTGACAGCATCCTGCTTTTTATAAATTAGCAGAATGCAGGCACATTTAAAAACTTTTTTGTGGTTAAGTTTATTGGAGGCATCACATGCCATTACAGCCAATCCAGATGCATCAGGAGCAAGTACTTTCTTCCACCACATGCAAAGGCATCTTTTAAACATGCACTGTGAACCCTAGAAAATGTACAGCATGTATTTTAAGAATAGAGGGAAGGCTGTGAATTGTGAAAACATCTCCTCCTTGCCTTGGTTCCTGAGTCCTTTTTTCTGAAGAAAAATTTACATACATATAAATGGTGTGTGTGTGTGTGTCTCAGATGATACCTCTTGGGAAACCCAGTTCTATTCTTTGTTCCTGTTTGATATGTTCTATCTAGTCTGAACCTGCTTTTCCCCAAGATCAATTCTAACATAATATCTTCTTTTCATTTTATCTCACTCTGTGTTGTTTATTTTATCTTCAAAATGAGTAACACAAAAGATTCTGAGACCCAGATAGTTGAAGCAAATGTAGCCAGTAGGACCACCTTCTCTAAGACAAGTGTGAAGTTTGACTGGCTTTGTGCCAACCAAATATAATTCTACCCATGCCTGTGGAATTCCCAGCATTACTCAAACACAGAACTTAATATCGTCCCTTGAGACTTACGGCAATGCTATATTTAATTCAAAGTGAAATGAATGTCAGTACTCCATCACATTTTCACTCACATCAGAGATGGTGGGAAGTGCTAACAGGGGTTCTGTTTCTTGTTGTTTTATTACTACTGAAACTGTGAGTCAAGTGTTTAAATAACTGATGCTTCATTGAAAATGTAAAGAATGAATTAATTCCACCATTGGCTTTATTAGCTTATCTGAAATAAGTTACACAAAGAAAGGAACAGTGCTTTAAATTTTTGTAGTATGTTAGTGCATAAGTATAAGCCCGTGTAAATGAACACTATGCCAACTCCAAACTAAGGGTATAACAGAATGCAACTCAAGGATAGATCATCTTCCTTTATTGTTTCTTGGGCACTTGGGTAGCAGATTCCACAAAATGTTGTAGCTGTGCTCAATTTTTATCATTTTTTATAGATACAGAGTCCCTAGTTATATTACAAACCAGATAATTTCAGGAAGAAGTGACTACCCATAGGTTTATACTTTTCTAATCTTAAAATTCTATATTTCAGGGCTGGGGCTGCAGCTCAGTGGTAGAACACTTGCCTAGCATGTGTGAGGCACTAGGTTCTATCCTTAGCACCACATAAAAATTAAAAAATAAAGGCATGCTGTCCATCCACAAGTACAAAAAAATTTTTTTTAAATCTACATTTCAATCAAGATTATAGTCCAATACATACATGCAAATAGACATGCATGTATACATATATCCAAAATATTCATTTATATGCCAACATTTATACCTGTATGTATGTAAAATTGGCTGATTGTTTAAAGTTCATTCCTCTTTCATCTCAATATGTCATATATTATATATGCATTATTATATATTACACATAGCAACATAAGTATAAATATTACCCTCTGCTGCCTGATGTTTTATATAATGAAACACTGCCCAGGTTAGCTCCCAGAACTGTTCCACAGGACTCCTGATGTGTGTAGGGCACTTTCTGTCACCACCACTAATAGGGTCATGTGTGTCTAAACCAAAGACTGTTCATAATGCTTACAATCCCAGTCCTTTCCTCTGTTGGCTTAATAGAAACTCTGTCCACAACTAAAAATTAGTTAATTTTGTACATAATTATGTTTTGGTTGCATAAGAGCCTAACTCAAGGCCTCCGGGATGCTATGGCCTAGAGGTGGAGTAGACAGACTGAACACAGCAGCCCCGAGCAGCTCTGTAGTTTATATGTAGTTCAAAGGGGCTTTGACTGATAGAGGAGTGATTTGAGAAGGCAGCCATCATCTGGGAAGAATCATGATGCCCATAATTCCTAACGGACACTGAAGACTCGCCTCGCCCCAGGCGTTCTCTAAGTACTTCACACGGATTCTTTTAGCCAATTCAAGGGCTGGTATGGCGATGCTTCTATGTGGCAGGCACTGTTCTAGGCACTGTGGCTTCAGAACTGAATAAAATGAAGAAAAGGCCACATCTTCTAGTGGAAGGAGAAAGACCATAAATAAAATAATTTCATGAATGGGCAGAATTAAAGGCTCTAGAGAAAAGTACAGCGGGCAAAGGGAGCCGAGAGCCCAGCTTGCAGATGTTCCCTGTAGAACCATGAAGGCTTTACTCACGGTCACGTAACCAGCCACTGGAGGCTTGAGAGAGAAGTGTCGTGACCTGACCCAAGTTTTCCCAGCAGGGCTCTGACTGCCACTTTTTGAACCACCTAGAAGGTTATTGCCACAAACCAAGTGAGAGGGAACCGTGTCTTGGGCCAGGAGAGTGTCAGTGCCGAGAAGCTGTCAGATTCAGAATATGGCTGGAAGGGCAAGCCACAGGATCTGCTGACAGGTTGGACGTGAGGGACGGAGGTCAGGGCAGACTCCCATGTTCACCATGAGCATCGTGAGGGCATGTTAGATACTATCCCATTAATCCTCAAGCAAACTTGGTATAGAACCCAACTTGCAGATGAGACATCAAGTCTGACCTCCCGTGAACAGGAAGTGACAGAGGGAAGATTTTGCCTCACATGTACTGCTTCTCTGATGTCAGTCATTGATGAATCCAGAAGTCAGAAGTCTGCACCCACCAGCCTCTCCCATCGAAACTGCTGCACTCCTTCCCCAGGGACCACTGCCTCTTCGTCACTCACTCAGACATGACACTGTCAGTCTCCCAATGCCCCATATGGCACACTAAGCTTTTGTTCAAAACTGTCCTTGATTCTTTGTGGTAGACAAACAAATAAGAAACACTGAGGTACAGGTTCCAAAGAGGCAGATGTCAGTTCAAATAAGTACATCTTTCCCACATCTAGCCATTTCCAGCAGATAGACCAGGCTGCTGCTGGTCTTAACTAATAATCCTTCCCTTGCCAGGCAGTGACCAGCTCTGGACCACTAGGGACACTTAGGCCACTCTTTATCCATTCTACACCTCCAAGGTCACCTTCCAGTTTTTTTCCTAACATTGCACTTCTCCCGTGTACTTCTCCTTACTGTGTCCTCTCCAGAGGAGCATCTGGAATGGTAAAAAGGTGCAGACTACTTTGCTCTAATTAACAGGATCTCAGGGTGCAAACTGTACAAATCAGGCAACTTACAAGTACAAGTCTCGTGCTTCCAAATTCAGCTTGATAGAGACTCACAGATCAGGATTTTATTGTCATTTCCAGTTTGTATTCTTGGTTCATCTTTGCAGCTCCTTTCTGAAGACAAAGCCATTTCTTGCAATGACTTGAAAGAAAACCCTTGCTCAGTAAGAGGGGGAAGGAAAGAAACCAGCATTTATTATGCACCCACTGTGCTCGCCTGTCAACATGCTAAATGCCAGGCATGCCTCACTTTAGTTAAATCCACATTGGAAACCTTTGTGGCAAGCAGAGAAATAGCCAGTGACCCAGAACTTTCAACCCAGAACTTTCTTTTCAAATCCCAGTGGGATTTTCCTCTAATATCCTGAGGAATTCAATACCTTCTCTACGGGGCTCGTTGCTCTCTGTTATTCCCAGGTGAGAACTCTTTCTTTTCATATTGCAACCGTCTTCCTGCTGATCTGCTTCCATCTGATCTACTATTGCTCAGCTTACCCAGGGCCCTGATCAGTTTCCCTGAGTTAGTCAGAGGTAGAAGTGGTCCCATCTCTTTAAAACATACCCTTCCTTCATCAGTACCCACCTCACTCTCTCAATTCCAGTTACAGAAATCCCTTCTCACTTCATATCCCCACTTTTTACCTCTTCTTAATAGAAATATTCACATCAATAATTCCTGTCTAATTTTTTTAAAAGCCTATGCAATATAAAATTCAGTCATTCCGCATCATCAGAGAAGGCATGCTGGCCAGTCTGCTATCTCAGGGTGCCAAGTGCGGGGGACAGTCGCTCTTAGAAGCATTTTTCATATAGTCACTCATTTACTGTTCACAGCAACACTTTGGGATGGGTCCTGTTGTACATTTCATAACCACAGAGTGGTTAAATAGCTTTCTCAAGGTTAC